ATCGCCGGCGCCAAACGCACAAAGTCATTTTTGCTCTTATTACATGTACTTAAAAATTTTTCTGACCGGCTTAATATGAATCCGTGTGAATAAATATGGTGAGTCCCTTATACTAATTCGCAAAAATAACAACGTATTTCAGTAAGCTTACAATAAGTCGAAGTTTTTGTAAAGGGCTAAGCCGTAGTTTCTAGTTAGCACAATTTTTATCTACGTAAGAAGCGAAAGAAGTATGTCAGCGTAGCGAGTGGAGATCCATTGTGTGTGCTAGTATCAGTCAGACCCAGGTGTGTGGCCGAGAGTTTTGATTAATAAAATGAATGGCTCGGTCCACATTATTTATCGAAAAAGGAATAGGTAAAGAACACGAAAAGGAACAAAGGTAAAGTAAAGGCTGTAACAAAACAAAACAAAATAACGGTATAAATACAGGTACAATCATATAAAAACAGTCCCTACGAGATATGGTAAAGGTTACATGATTTTCAATGGTATAATTGGTCAGAATTTAACACCAAGTCGAGCACATGTACTCGCTTCGGAAATTTCATAATAAAAAGTGATAAAAAAGTGGGATGACGACAGAGTTCGCATAGTCACAGGTGTAATAGTATGTGTGAAATATTACACTTCATTCGTGTCAATTTATGTGTGCATTAATATACGTAAATTTAATGATAGCTGATCTGGGACAACTTGCTTGCTGTCGCTGGTCCTGATTTTCAATGTAGGACTTGCACGCAGTATTGTGGCTTAGCTTGCCTGGTTTAGTTTGCTAATATAATAATTTCGGGAGTGGCTACAATCTAAAATCAATAGATTTTAGATTCTAGCCACTCCCAAGGGCTGAAAGGCCCAATCCAACCACCTGAAGTTGGAAATAAGGGCTTATTACTGTTAAAGTTACTTACTTGTCCGGGACCTGTATTGCCCTTAAAAACTGCTGCTATTTCATCTATTGCGATTATTAACATCTCCGAATCACGACTCAACTAGGCTCCAGGCGTCTCTGGCTCGTGTGACGCCTCGCTATTCTTTATGTCGCAGTGGTATGGAACCCAGTGCGAGACCACCTTTTGCCTCCTCCCAAAAGTACTTATATAAGTCTCACTACTTAGAACAGTCACACAATCCTCGATGGTAAAGGGAGAATATGGAATTACATTATTTATATCCATACAAGCGATTATAGCGTACACACATCAAAAAAAGTTTGCGATCAATAGCATAAGCTCCTATAATTCTTTAAATTTAACTTTATCAAGAAAAAGTCTATGTTGTATGCTTTCTTTAAATAGGAATACCCTGTTTGAAATTAAAATATAAAACTATTTTTTATTATTTATTTTAAAAAATTGAGCCATTAATCATAATGTAATAGTGATAGAAATTTCATAGAAAGAAAAAGACTGTTTAATTAAACTTAAACAACAATTTATTATTAAAAGGTGTGAATTCGATATAAAATAACTCCTCCCCTGGCTCGAATACATGCGAAGATCCTCTTGGGCATGCTGAGGATCAAGTTATCCAGCATTTCCTGGGGTAACCTATCCCATTCTTCAATAGCGGCTTCCCTGAGCTCTGGAACTGTCTGGGGACGTGGCTCACGGTTCCATACTGCTCGTTTAAGAGCATCCCACGCGTGCTCTATTGGGTTTAAGTCGGGCGAGCCGGCAGGCCAGTCTAATCGTGTGATATCGTATTCTTGAAGAGCAGCATTGACTCGTTGAGCTCGATGTGCGGACGCATTATCATCGACCAGTACAAATTGGTGCCCATGGTTTACTCGGAATGGTCTGACGATATCATCAATAGCAACTGCTTTGTACATGTCTGCTGTCATGAAGCCCCGATACGGGATCAAAGGCGTTCTAGCTCCAATCATAATGCCACCCCAAAAGGACACCGATTTTCCGCCTTGCTGAACTGTTCCAGTGGCAGTTCTTTGTCTTTCACGGTCGCCTGGTCTTCTCCAGACACGGACACGTCGGTTATCTGGATGAGTGCTGATTCGGGATTCGTCAACGAAGAGACAGTTTTGCCAAATGTTTTCGTCCTCACCTTCTTCATTTTGCCGAAGTCTAGCCCACTGCAATCTTCGTTGTTGACGTTGCCGGGAATTGAGCGGAGCTCGCCAAGACCTCCGTGCTCGTAATCCAGCCTGGTGCAAGCAATTGCGAACGGTCTGCGTGCTAACTTCAAGCCCAGAGGCGGCCCTGACTTCTGCTTTCATTTTAGTGGCGTTGATTGTTGGATCACGGGCTGCCAGCAATCTAATATAGCGCTTTTGGGCAGCTGTCAAAACAGTTGGTCGACCGCTGCGGGGTCGGTCAGCTAAATTCCCCATTCCGTGATACCTCTGCAACGTAGCCACGACACAGGATTGGGATATAGCAAGTCTGCGTGCTATTACTCTCGTGGTGTATCCTTCTTCCCTCAAAGTTACTATTCTAGCTCGTAAAACCTCATTGGCATTTTTTCAATCACAATTTTCCGCGAAAAATATCTTGAATCGCTTATAATTGACTAAATCAGATTTCTGAATGAGCGTAAGCTAGGACTGAAAGCCTTTTTATATGAAAAAACAATTGAACGGGGTCATTGTTTTATGTTCTAATTTATTTTTAAATAAAGAATCTAAAAAGAAGAAAAAATCATAATATAATCTACAGTACCAAAAAAGATTTCAGTTTTTCGAATTGATCGCAAACTTTTTTTGATGTGTGTACATCGGAGCCTGAAAAACGGATGTATGTCGCCCCTAGTTCAGTTTGTAGCTGAATCTGGGTCGCACACCATTTATATCGCAGCGTGCATTGGATTCTATTTTCGACCTAATGGTATAAGTACCATAGTCCGCAACCAATGTTCAAACTGTTGTTGGAAGCTCTAAATGGGGTAGAGCTTTTGTTAATTACAGGGTTGTTGCGAATATCAGCATTCGCAAATAATCTGCATAAATTAAAATATCTGCATCCACCTCAGCATCCGCAATCATCAATGCTGATATTCATTGCGGATACTCAAGTAGTGAATTGACTTTTCTTTTTATAAATAAATAACGCACACACTCAACATAGCCCCGCACTAGGGAAACCCTGTGTCGCGGGTGCCATGGACACACATAGACAACCACAAATTACACCCAAACTCACGAGAGAAATAATTGTAGGCCATACAACTATTTCTCCTGGCCCGGGAATCGAACCTGGGACCTCTGCGTGGCAGTCCCGCATGGTATCCGTTCGGCTACGGAGGCAGCTTAAAGGTATGGTAAGCCAAATAAGCAACTCAGCTGTTGTTTTCAAAATATTACTTAGATAAATAACTTATACATAAAATTCCACAACAATTAAGATTGCAGTTTTCATACAGATTGATTCTTTTGTTAACAAATGTCACAAAGTCAATGAAACAATTTAGAATACCAAGGAAAATCGAAAGCATTTTCATGTAGACAGATTCAGAAAGGATGTTATTATTCACGTTATTTTAAATACATAAAATCAGCATCCACTGATGTTAAGATGAAAAATCAGCATTCGCTGATGCGTAAAAAACCTGCATCAGCAACAACCTTGGTTAATAATTATTGTGAAGGGACGCGACGTAACTAAACGTGAGGGGAGATTCACAAAGATGCCACAGAAAAACGTGAAGTACCCAAGCTGCATAGGACCAGGGCGCTTACCCTGTCCCTTAGAGGTGAACTGTGCCTTCAATTAATGATCGTGACATCTCTTAACTCAATTTAAAATGGACAACACTAATGTTTAACATAGATGTAGGCATAACAATTGATAGTAACACAAATAATTATTGGGACAAACAGCTTGTACAATATATTTTGATGAATAAGACGGATGTAACACTTGTTTTTTCTTTTTGAGGTTTTATAATGAGTCAGTGCTTTTTATTTGTAATTCATTAATGTTTTCAAAGGAAGCATTGTTATTGTGTCCAAACTTACAGTACATTTATCTATTCTTATTTGACACTAGTAATATAAGGTTTGGATTTATTCAAAAAAACTTAGATGAATTGACATACAACAATTATTTTATTTAATCTGTTGTTTTATTTCTCTGTTGTTATTTTGACTTATATAATAATATAAACAATAATAGATAAAGGTACTACAATGTGTGATATGTAATGTATTCATTTAGTTATTTTGAATACAAAGTAAATACTTTAGTCAAGTAAAATTTTATTTTATCAAGTATGTTAAAATTTGTTAATTATTTTTTGGTAACTATCATGTGTATTGACAAGTGTCTTGTGCAATTAATTTATCTCTGATTTGAAAGTAAACTAATGCCTTAAATAAATTAAATTTTATTTGAAGGATATTCAACTGATCTGAACTTAAGGTCCATATATATAGAGGATGTGAGCAATTTCACTATACAATCCCAGTTAATAAATAGACCTCAATAACTGCCTCACATACGAACGGGGCAACGACACCGCGCGTTCTATCACGCCTTTATTAGCAGGTAAAGTACGCTTTCCTTAAATACCCTTTATAAAAACATAGCATGGCACAAACAGGCCCTTAAGTGCCGAAGGTAAGAAAATTATTTAGACCAGACCCGGGCCGGACGCCTCACGACAGACAGACAAAGTTTCACTAGGGACCAAATAAAGTTTCATGAGTTAGCTGCAATTTTAATTGAATGCTATCACGCAGTCCATTGCATTCCGTAACAGACGATGTGTGACAGCGACCAAGTCGAGCGTGAGTCTCTACCCACTATCACAACAAGAAACTCGGAACATGGGACTGTAGCTCCAACTTTATTTACCGTATGCATCAGCTGTCAATGATTACGTCAACGTTCGATAATTCCGTCTTAAAAGCCCCAATAATTACACACGCGCCCACAATTACTTTATAAAAAAAACAACCAAAATTCTAACACAAACTTAAAATGCACAACAATCTAAATCTAACAAAATATCGATTTATGAGAACAGGACATTGTTTTGCTTACCTTCAGATAACTCCAAGTCCAATTCGGCCAATTTATCTCTAATTTCGTCCGGCAATTTTGATATATCCACACTTAAGTCAGCCATAGTGAAAAAACACTATTTTCACACAAAATAACAAAGTTTAACGACTACACTTCAAGAAACCATCGTGACACATGGCCATCTTGGATTTTGATTATTTTCTATCTGGTTCGCGCAACTACTTATCAACTTGCTCGCAAGTGCTGTGCAACACACATTTTCCTATCACCGGCAGAGGGCGCATGCGGAACATGTTCTCATTTGCTATAATTCATACTTTTAATCATGCGCTGTACCAAAGTTTTCTCTTGACTTACGAATTTCGCTCTACCCGCAAATAGTATGCAATAACAATCTCAATAATCTTTATCAATTTATACCATCCTTCTCAATCATAATCTGAATGGGGAAAATTATTTATTTTCGAGAAAAGGCATTGTAATTGTTTCTGCAATTTGGGCAACAGACAAAAACGATTATCAATTTTTAAAATAGCAACTGTAGAACTTGTGAAATGGTCCCGATAGATGGCGTAACATGTTTGGTCCATAGACTCAGTATTATTTCTACGAACAAGAGATGTAACTTTATAAATGATCAAAGTCATTGGTACCAACTTGATCAAGAGTTTACAATTAAAGTTAAATTGAATAAATGTATCACTGATTTAATGTGCGAACATTGGTGCGAATATATTATGTAGATTGATTATTAAATTGGGATATAGACGGAATTATTTTGATCTATACGTCAAAAAATACCAAATAATTACTTAGACCATAAAGTAATTTTATCTCTAATCCACCTCTTCTACGAATAATAACGAAAAACTATTTATTTACTTTCTTGTGGGTCTCTCTTTTTCCTGAACAATTATTGTTCGTAAATATGTGAACATCTTCCCATCCTTAAAACATAAATCGTTCGTTAATTTGCGCTCGGACAAATTGTAGGTAGTTTTGTACTAATACGTCACCGGTTCGCGATATCATCTCACCTACATTTTTTCTTATATTCATTCGGGAGGCCGCCCTCCAGAACTGTGTCGACTTCGTGCTCGACCGAGTGATTTTATAATTGTATTTCTTCTCATTCATCCGTAATGTTTATAATTGACTGTTTTGTGTCGTGTTGGTATCTACTGGTGGACCTCTGGAATTCCAAAAAGTAGGCATAAAGGCAAAGAATAGGAGTGACGTCTTCCACTATGTCATACGAGGAGCCGAATACAAGAAGATTAAAAGTAGGGTTTATATGGTCATCCACGACCAAAAATATTACTATTTACATTTTGTCCTACCACCTAAAAATACAGTCCACTCTACGTCTATTCTTATTCCAACTTACAACTTTCGTCAACAATTATCGTAATAGTCATCTGGTAATTATCCGATAACTGTCCATGTTGGGGCTAAGTTATGTCTCTTTCATTTTTGACTAAAAATTAAATATTAAAAATACTAATAAAATTTTACGCGTTTACAAATATACATATACTAATATATAAAAAAACATTAATAACTTTTCTATTACTTTTTTTATAATACAAAGTGACGGGACAAACAAAAGTCGTACACCTGGTGGCAAGCGACTCTATCTATAACTATTAATGTTTTATTACTTAAAAGTGATAAAATAATCAAAATCAAATATTTTTTAAACAAATAAAACAGAGGAATGAAAATATTTTTCCGGATTTAAATCGCGTATATTTGTTTTTTCAAACAAACCGACGTTTCGGGCCCTTTACAGGTCCCATGGTCACGGTTGACACGGTTGTTTGAAAAAACAAATATACGCGATTTAAATCCGGAAAAATATTTTCATTCCTATGTATAACAATCGCGAAAACCTAAGAACTCGTCAAATAAAACAGTTTAAAACCGGTTTACAATGTTTATAAATTAACTTTTTGTATGTGTGTTCGGATACATGGGGCGACATTGGTAGCCTTAAATTATATTAAAGGCACTCATTATCCTGCATTGCAGTCTGCCGCGTAATGCATGATTATGAATGTAATGTGAAAAAACTTAGTTTAAAGAAGAGTAGCGTTTGACAAAAGTCGGTAGTGTGGCTTTACTTGTACTAGCTGCACTAAAGTACGATGTGTTGGTTTTCTGTTTCTTAGAACATACAAACATTGAAAGGGCAAGACTGTAGTCTCTGCTTACCCCGATAGGAAAAGGATATGATCTGTATGTGTGTTCAAACAGTTAGGTAAGGTAGTGAGTACTCAAGTACGCTCATACAGTACGAGCCCATGTGATGAATGACTATCAACGTTGGAATTATTATTGTTAAGTTGCCATGATTGCAGGGCGAGTTTTTAGTACGACGTTGTGTATCTGGTTCAATCTTCCGTCCGTCATTCTCACAGGTCATTCTCTGATTTTCATTCGTCGCCTCGTCTAGTTTTTATATTCAATGTAGAATTGTCGGTTGGCTGTAAGTAAAATGGTTAAATTTATTCTTGTAATGGCTGCCACGCTTAATGTGTAGCTTATTGGTTATGTCATGTATCTAGGATCGGTGTGTGGATGTGTAATCGGTCCAATTCAACAAGTGTTCCGAACGATGATAGTGTAAAAGCAGTTTAGATCGGTCCCGCTGGAACGTTTCTTCTTTCATGTTTCCTTTTTTGGCAATTAAGTTATTTAGACTGCATTTGTGTACTGTATGTGATAAAAACATAATCTATGCGTCGTGAAAAGTGTGGTTTGAGGTCGCATTGCGTGTGAACTGTTGAGATCAGGTTGTAAAATGTCGGATACGCGTTCGTCGTCGGCGCTGTCTAAGCGAGCGGAGCAGCTGAAACGATGGGAAGAGTCTGACACGAACAAGCAGTCGGCGTCGCCGAAGCGGCCGCTGCGAATACGGTTCGCACCGGAGATAGTGTTTTTGGCGGCGTGCACTGCGGGCGAGAAGGAGGATGTGCAGCGGCTGCTCAAGGCGGGCGCGGACATCAACACTGCCAACGTTGACGGCCTCACTGCGCTGCACCAGGTGAGCAACAAAAAAGCATGACTTTCAAGAAAGATGTATCAAACACTTGGACCTCACTGTTGTTACTGGGCATATTTCTCTGTTGATAAATATAAATAATATGGCACAATATTTACACTAAATGTGTGCCTACATTTTTACACTTTATTTATAAAATTATACTGACTAATAATGCACTGCGACGGACCTATTCATTCTGGATACCTCTGTTGAACATTATGCCTACTTAATTTTTGGTCATTTTCTGTTTTTAATGTAAACAGCCTACTTTATTTGCTATATTATGCTCCCCAAAAAAAGGAAACAAAAAATCGAATTTAGTGAATAAAGTAACAAAACAAAATAAAATAAAAAGTGGGTGTAGTGTTTGGTAGAGGTATCAATCTGTCCTAGGCACTGCTACTGTCAACAATGACTTTTGACTCTTCTTTTAAAAGCTGCCACATCTGGTAATTGAAAGATTGGGCATGTAACACAAACCAGACCTGGATGGTCTTGGCCTTAAGTGCCGCTGCAGTCTGAAACACCTTAGGTTGCATGTTTCAACAACCTTGGTTGCCCAACGTTTTGCACTGTAGGCATTGTATGTGGAAGTTCCGGGTTTGATTCCTAGTAGGACCAATTTGTGAAATGAAATTACCTAAATGGTTCTGGTCTGGGTGTTCAGGGTAGTGCCCTGGAGTGAATTCCATTGCTGTAGTCAGTCATAGTACAGGGGACTACATACATAGGGGAGGGGGTGTTTTAGACCTGGTAAATTGATATGGTTGTTTGGTTGTTTGAAGTAGCAGTAGAGCTCCTTGTGAAAGAGTTCATTCAGAGAAGTACTGCCACCTTACCTATTTCTGCCGCCAAGCAGTAATGTCTACATTACTGTGTTCTGGTTCTGAAGGGTGCTACAAGGTGTTTGTGAAATTACAGGCACATGAGACTTGTCGACTTTATGTCTCAGAGTAACTGGCGCAGTTTAAAGCTCTGAGTGGCACTGCAACTATTTTGGACAGGCGTGTAGCTTACCATAAGAAGCACGACTTGCCTGTCCTGTCACTTGATTTTATAAAAAAAAACATTACCTGAAAGAGTGTCATATAATCCATCAAGCAAACCAGTGACTTATAGTTGAATTTGACACATTTTTTGTTGCTTACACCATCAGTCAACGCGCATGTGTCTATTTTATACCAACTGTCACACATTCTGAAGACACATTGTGTCCCTTATGATTTTATCAAAAACTTTTCAAAATATAGTTATTTTTAAATTTAGCAAGCTATCACTTACTTAGACTAGACCTCTTACAAAATAGAGCCTTACGTATCTGTGGTGGTTTCATTAGGACTACACCAATACATGTAATTTCATGTGAGTTGGCCATACCGTCTTTAGCTGTGTGTAGATATTGTTGTCACAGTATCTCTCACTAATAAAATAAGTGTCCAAACTATTCAAAAATATTTACTGGACCAATAAGACTAAACGAGCTTTAACTGAAGTTTGTTACAACTTAGAAAATAGAGACATAAAAATAACAAATGGGAAATGTGTTATATGGAAATTTGGATGTCGTATATAGATGTAAGTGATTGCATAAAAGATAGAATACCCAACCTGACCATTGCCAGAGACAAAGTAACACTGTGAATTTAAATAATTGTGTAAATAGTTTTTTAACTTTTCATTGCAGTGGCTACTATTGTGCAATTTTTTTGTTTAAAATTGTTGTTCGGACAATATAGAAAAAGCAATGGGTTTTAACCCTAAACTGTAACATAAAATCATAGATGCAAAACGCTTAATGCAAATTGGTGGATCTTAATATGTACCATTTTCATCACACTTGCTTGTAAACAATTTATTCGACAAACAGTAGTTATACTACTTTATTTTATATTCATTATTATTATTATTATTATTTTGTTACTGGCGATCATAGTTATCCCTTGACATTGTATTTCCAATTGTAATACTGTGACATTGATAACATGAAATAAACGATTCTATTCTATTCTATTCTATTCAATGTCATAATATGGAAGCAAAGTCGACTGTAATGTTTCAAATTATGCTCACAGGCTTTTTGTTACATTACCTCCTAGGGCAGTAATAGATTTTAATTTTATTTACACTGTACTTCTTTCAAAGATTAAACAAAAAGTTTTTATGTTCAAAAATCTGAAAGTATTTCACATAAGCTTCAAGTATAGAAAAAAACTAACTAGAAGCATTTCGCCGCCTTACTGTCTCAAACTCCTATCTTAAAGCGCAAGTTATTGAAATGCAAAAAGTGGATTGTGTATACAAATTTTGCAGGCTAATTTCACATCACATTTCCTTCGTATTCATATACTGGCTTTTACCTGTTCTTAAAGTAATGTATCCAAATGAACATTTTTGGTAAGAAATTTAAGATAAATAGAAAGTTTTGCCGTCTCCTGAATTCTCACTCTTTATAAGATACGAGTTTGAGAAAGTAAGGCATTGAATTGCAATTTAAATATATTTCACAAAATTTATTTAGTGAATACAAATTCTGCAGTATTCTTAGAATTTGGAAATTATTTATTTTGTATTTGATACATCGTCACTCAAGTATGGAAAAAAACTAAGTATTTGGAAATTATCTATGTTTTACTAAATTTATTTTATGAATTCTAATACGTCGTGACTGCATGCATTTCTGCCTTTTATCACATTTTAGTTCAAGTTATTATCTATGGAAGAATAGCTGGCAATTTTCTTAAAAATTAACAAAAACCCGCCATTTGCGATATCCGTAAATGTTGTGTTGTGAAGCGATATTTATTCATACAAGAAATAAATTATCGTTATATCTTTAATATATCTAATACATTTTTTTTGTATTTAATTTAATTTTGTAATAATGGTGGAAAACATAGCAGCGCATTAGAGACACTGTTTTAGCTTTACGACACTACGGTACCAAAATTGTAATGGACACCACATGTCTCTAGTAGTCTAGGACTCTTGACAGGTAAAAAAAATCATAATGTTATATACTTCTAATCAAACTGTTTCTGACAATGCAGAATGGCAATGTTGTACACAGGAAATGACTGTATTGGCTTATTCTGTTTAATAGAAGTATCTTCAATAATGAAAATTTGCAGTTATGTGAAAGAAATGATCTGGTGCTAATTTTCAGTGTTCTGCCTCAATAACACTCAAGGTTTTTGCACTGTCATCTGTAACATTTTTGCATACAATATTCACGAACCTTTTCCCTGAATTGAGTATTTTATGCAAAACTAAGTGTCGTATTCTAGAATTCTACTCAATACTCAAGTCAGGACTTGAGTATTTCAGTGAGCTCTGAAAATCATACTCAGGCCATTAGGGTCGTATTTCCAGTGTTTGAAATCATACTCAAGTCTGGTCAAATCCTGCCTTGAGCATTGAGTAGATTTCTGGAATACTACCCTTAAACCCTTTTACAGTAAAATGTGCTTAGTATATCAGGCTTACGATGTGAATGATTTTAACAAATAGGGTTAATGAATTTATTTTGCTGATAAACAATTGAGTTTTAAAATCTGTTATTTGATGATGATTGATATTCCTTTTGAAGCAGTTCATTCAAGTATGTACAGATGGCAGCATATCAAGCTACAAATTGAGGGATCTTGTTCCGTTGCACTGGTGAAGATATTCAAACAAAAGTGTATAGCTTGATGTGCTGTGGACTGTACATGTAACTCAGGACAAAACACAAGACGTAAGACAGATTTTGTCATTGACTGACATCGAGCATATAACCAGAAATAGAGACAAAATGTCATTTAATTTGTTTGAAAACTATTCTGCCATATCATGACTGTGACAACTGCGCTCCGTTTGGCTAGCCCGAGTTCGAAACAATTGACGGGTGTCGTCAATGGTTGTCGTCAACTATTTCACTTCAAATCGACCAGTTAATTTGAGCTTTGATATAATGGACGAAAATTGCAAAATAACATATTTAATTACCGATGAAATGGGATTCCGTTTGTTTTGTAATTAGATGTTTTGATGTTTTTCCCACACCACCGAATAGAACAGCACGGCATTGTTAGAGATATTGTCTTTATTACAATAAATACAGAATATTTTTTGGAATATACGGAGACGTACACACAGGTCAGTAGTTGGCCTGTCTATATTTCAGTGCAAACGGGAGTTGATATTTATAAGAGCTGTATCGCTAATGTGTTACCAGGAATATATGGCCCTTATTTCGTCTCTATTTCTGGTTATATACTCGATGTTGACTGATCAGCGATCACGCATGAGTATTCTAACCAAGATTGGGAGGGTTATTAGGTCAGCTACATGCTTGTTAATCTAATCCTTCTCAAAAGCGTTTTAATAAAAGCATCACAGCTTAGTTACTGCAAGTATTCTTCCTAAAGCCCATGAGAGCAATTTAGTTTCTACAAGATTTACAAAGTATAAGAAATGAAACTCTTGTTATTTTATGTTGACATGACTTCTCTGGACGATTATCACAATTTGAAATTTATTGCAGCTTTTTTGTGCCTATTACTTGAAATGAAGCAATTATGAAAGTGTAATTAACACAGAAATTAATTTAGGTTACAGAAATTGAACTGCCTGCTTAAAGGAACAGTGTATTGTCTCTTGACAATGAGCTTCTCATGTGTAAGACTGTCCTTAAACCAATATGGACTTACGGCATTTAGCTTTGGTGTGCCGTATGCAATTCAAATATCACACTAATAGAAAGAGCTGAAGATTCCATCCTAAAGCAGATTTCTAATGCGCCCTGGTTCATTCGAAACACGGAAGTCCATCACTACCTAAAAATCAACACACTAAAGGAAGAAATGCTTAGAATTGGATCAACTAGTTTGAAAATCCAGCTGCAAATGGAGGAGCTCCTGCTGGGGAGTTGACTCTACATGTCTGTAATCACGCAACACATCTGCTCATAGTCATCCAATTATTGAATACAAAATAATAAATAAAAAAAGGTTACTTAAATG